TAAATTCATATAATTTTAAAAAAAATTTTATAAATATTAAAACATAACTTATGAATGACAATTAATATTTATAATAATTAAAAAATATTAAAATTTAAAATGTGAATTTGTAAATTGCTGTTAAATTTTTATAATTTTTTTTAAAATTTTAAATTTTAAAATAAAACTTGTGAATAAAAATTAATATTTAAATTAAGGATAATTTGATTATTTATATTAATTTTTTAATGATAAATTTATTTTAAAAACTTTAAAAAATTATGACATTTTAAAATATCAAAATAACATTCACATAAATCAAAGGAATTTTATTATCATTTTCTCTACTTTCAAGTAAACTAAACGAATTATTATATGAATTTATTTGTCTTAAAACACTTAAATATTTTAATTATACCATTATCCAAAAAACAGATCATAAAGTCTTGGCAGAAATCCTGGTACCGTTATTAAAATTCTAGCTAGGGGTAAACAATATTTAAGACATTGATACAGCACTATACATACAAATTGCAGCTCTATCTTTAAGAAAATACTTAATATATATACATATATATATGAAGAGAGGGAGTACATGAATAAAATTTAAACTAATTAAAATAGATGCAGGAAATTTAAAAAAAATCAACAATTTAAATAATGTCACAGTTCTTCCTTTTTCTCATGCATTACCCAATATTTTAGAACATTTGAGGATATTAGTATTATCTATTCAGACTAATTTAGAATCCCACTATATGAAATCATTACTCTCTCTCTTTAAAAATATTAAGCATTTTTTGAGGAGTTAAATATTAAAAAATATAAAATATTATTAATTTTTTAAGGTGTAATTATTATTTTTTTAAAGTGTTTTTATTGATGCATGACTTTTCATTTATTGTAAAACGTTTAATAAAATAAATATAAAAAAATTAATTTAAAATAAATAATTATTTTATTAAAATAATAAAATTTAATTAAAAATTTATTATATTTTTAAATAAAAGAAGTAATTTTTATCAATGACAGCGTTATAAATATTTTGGAGGGATGACATTTTGTAAGGTAGGGAGTACCATGTGAATTACTGAGACGTACGTGGAATCAAAAAATTTCTCATTCGCCTTGCGGATGGGTAGCACTCGTGATCGCGTCATTCGAAACAGTGATAAGTTTGTACTTATTCCTCAACTTAACGACTCCATGTCACGTCCTCAACCTGCCCACCCTTTTTTATCTTTTCAAAAACGGTACTGTCCAATCAATTTCCGTGTTCATTAATACTATTCATTTAAAAAACATATTATTGAGCTGATTTGATTTATTTTAAAAGTAGACCGTGATAAATTCAAACCTTCACATCTAATCCTCACAAGGCCCGTATATCTCTAACATGACATACTCCATCCGATTGGGATTCGATAATTATATTTGGTACAAGTACTGCTATGAATCATTAAAATTTAAATTAATAAATCAGATAAATTTATCCATTCAATAATTTCAAATGACACATAAATTTATTATTATTAATTTAAATTTTAACAATTTAAATGGTATAAAAATGTGGATTATTTGGATGGATTTTGTGATTTAAATTTGTATACACAATAACTTATAAATTTAAATTTAATTTAAGTTTAAATTCATTTTTTGTTCTCTCTTTTTTTTCATATCAAGTTCTTGTCTCTCATCAATTGAATAATAAAGGTAAACTTATTATTTTTAAATTTTTGCTTCATTTCTGAATATCAACTTAATTATTTATCTTGTCCATTTAAAATCTTTTAAATCATCCAAACAAAAGAGTTTAAATTCATAAATTTTAAATGTAAGATTTAAAATATATAATTCAATTATAAATCCACCTGCACTTCCTTAACATAATATTTGGTAAATATGCCGGTCATTGTCCGTCCATTCCTAAATACAGGAGCTAATTAAAGTGTTTTCTATAAATAAAATGAAAATTGCACGCGTCCCATGTTTTAGGTACATTTTTGAAGCTAGTCTCATATGAAAAATATTGTGCGTGCGCCACAGAACGCAGGAGAAGTTGGCCTCTTTTCTACAGGTGGTCTAGGTAAGAGGTAATATATAAGTTATGTTTTCCTTAATTTTCATCTACCTCGCATTCCAACCTTCCCTTCTCTCCTGGTTCCTGCAGAAAAGTTAACCCAATTATTAAACTTGTTAGGTTATATAATCCAATTGCAAGGGAGTTTAAGATGAGTATAGGAAGTTTTATATTAGATAAAATTAAACTTAATAATTAATATATTTTTTCAGTACTTATCACTTGATAGTACTTTCAATTGTTTAACATATCTTAAAAAAATTAATTTTTTCATAATATATTTTTATCCTTAACTTTAAATAATTATATAACTATATCAAATACCTTCACGCTAATTAGGGAATAGTAAAATTAAAAAAGTAATTTAATTATTATAAAGTGTCATTCATTTTGAATTAAAAATTATTTATAAAAGTTATCATACAAATAAGATAGGTGGGCGTATAATAAAAAAAATGACTGATAAATTTGAGTCTTTAAGTTTTTAAATTAACATATGACATTCTTTTGCTATTTCTCTTGCATTTATCTTCTTTCCCATTTTCGGGTGGTAGCTCCCAGTAGCAGACTTGCCCACACACTTAATGGTAGGCAATTGTCCCCGTTGACATGTGCTAGTTTTGAATTTATTGATTGGGAGAGGAACAATAGAAGAGGAAAAAAGGGAGAGATAAATGATAATCACCTAAATATAAGCGAGGAGTTAGGGTGAAGTAAAATTAAATCCACCTTAGATTTAAAATATTGGGAGGAGTGAAGTTGACAGTATGATCATGAAAATTTAGAACGGTTATAGTGAGAGGGGATTAAGATTTTAAAATAATTTAAATATGATAAATGATTATTTTTATCAAGGCTTAATTTATTTGAAACCATTTAATTCTTGCACTTATATTGGAATTAGTTATTATATTTTTTTAATCTTTTCTAGATTTTTACTACAATCATTTATATAGTTTAAAATAATTTTGATCTTTATATGTTCAATTTGTTATTTAATATTTTCAGCGAATTAAGTTGTTATACGTAGCAGGGATTTTACTATTATTATTTTAACAAATACTTGGAGTTTGATTTTCCACTCTTAATGCATGTAATAAAGCCTAGTTTTTATGATTCTATACACTAACAAATTAACTTTTACTATCCGTAAAGTATATATAATTTGTCTCAAAAAATAATCTTGCCCTCACTAGTGCCTTATCTTAGATCCGCCATTGGTTACTCCTCATTCGTAGCCTAACTCTGTATAGAACTCTAAACTCTTGAATAAATTTAATGATGAAAAATCATCATTGGGCCTTCTAATATTATAAATTATGATATCACTCATAATTCCCAAATAATGACTTGCCATAATATACCATGACAGACAAAAAAAAAAAATGGACATACCCATTTTTAATATAAAACATCTTTAAATAAATTATACCTTTTAATAAGTTAGTTAATTATCTTTAAAATTATATACTTTTTTTAAATTTATTCTTATTCAATATAGTGTTTCAATTAAAAAACTTTATTAATTAATCCTAATTAAAAGTATTTTAAAAAATATTATTAATTATACTTTAAAAGATATAGAATGTCTTATATTTTTAACATATCACATTAAAAAAATGTCATATTTTTGGACGGAGGAGTATATTTTCACATCGCGGATGCGGATCCATTGCATTCAAATGAGAACCCATGTGATCCAATCAGTTTGCGCATTCAATCTGAAAAAACAAATAGCGTCCATTTTATTTTTCTTTTTAAAGGGGAATATTTACATAATTCAGATGAACATAACCAGGTCTTATTCCATATTAACCACGCATGCATGCAAGGCTCAAAACATAGAATATTGATTTATTCCAGCTAATATTCATTATTAGGTCGGGCTAAAAAATTATTAATCATCAAGTATCTTGTAATTAAAAGAACGGCAATAAAGAAAATTAAACAGAAAAGTTTTGGCAACAAATTAAATAGCTATGTTAACAATTAAAAAACAGGACCAAAAAAAGCTGTCTTGTGTTCTCCGTTGACGAGTGTATTTTTCTTGTTCAACTAAATATTTACAAAAATTAACACAAATTTAAGCCCGATAATCTGGAAGCAATATTCTTTACTTGAAGCATTAAGATCCAAACATGTAATTAGGCTCACTTAAGAAATATTTCACATTCATAAAATCATTTTTTTCCGCCTCATTATTTCCCATTTTATTGTACTGTGTGCTGAGCTGGCCTTTAGTGGTCTGGTTTCTTAAAATAATAATTGGCATTAAAATTAAATTTATTATAAGAGGTGGCAAATTGGCAGTAGTGGAATGAAATAAAAAAGAGAGTTATTATAGATAATAATTATACATATACACTTCATCCATTAAAAAATATAAGATATTTTTTTAAGATTAAATATTAAAAAATGTAAGATATTTTTAAATTTTTAAAGAATGATTACTTTAATTTATTTTAAAGTAAAATATCCTATTATATAATAATAAATATATAAAAATGATGTTAATTTAAAAATAAATAATTATTTTATTAAAAAGTAAAATTTGATTAAAAATAATGTAGAAGAATACATTTTTTTTTTTATAGTGGAGAGAAATCAAACCAGGAGAGTAATTTAAAAAAAGAAAACGATAATGCCGGAGAGGGAGGGGGTTGTGGGTGAACGGGGATAGGGGATGTCAGTTACTGAGTGAGAAAGGACGCCAACAAAAAATTAAAAAAATTGAGAATCGTGGGCGGTCCAAGACGTCGCGGTCATAATAAGGGCGCAATTCCCGAGAAGACACAGAGGCAGAGGAAAAGTGACCCCACGAGGGTGATCTGACGGCAGGGAATGGTCGGTCACATCAACGGCTCCCAGTCCCTCACAACCCCTCCCACCCCCGACTTCCCTCGTCCTTTTATGCGCCCTCCATATCCCTCTGCCTCCCCCGAAAATATCTCACTGTTCCCTCCTCACTCCCTTCCCAGGCGAAGGATCCAGACCCAGATGCGATGCGATCCCTCTTCCTTATTCTCCTGTCAATTTTCCTCTTCATCGCCGTCATTTTCTTCCCTGCAACGCCTCCCCATGGCGTCGCTTCCCTCTTCCTCCCTTCCCCCTGCCTCGTCTTTTCCAAATCCTCTCTCCCGCCCTGTGCTTATCTTATCCTGTCATTTGTGGTGTAACTGATGCCCGCCGTTTCGGCACCCTCTGACGTTTCCGTTTTCCTATTCCCTAACACGTCAGGGGATCTGGTCACGTGTCACTGGCCTTTCCCTGTGTACGTGTTGCATGAGTCTGACTCCCCGGCCTGGATGAGCAATCCCCTATCGAGATGGAATGGATCAGAATTGAGCGGGGGCGAGAGTGAGCAAATATCCATGAGCCTTTTCCATTCTATTTTTGTGGCTGTGAATTTTTGGTTATTCTCCTTTTTCTTTTTTCTTTTTTCCTGCTCTTTTTTCCATCGATCTGTTATCCTTCTTCCGCCCCTTTTTTGGTAGCAAACCCTAAAATTTCCAAATATACGCCGTCTTAAAGCCCTTGGGAAGAAAATTAAGGATCCTTCGGATTTTCAACTCTTTGCACATTTCGTTGTTTTTCCTGGAATGGGCATCTCTATTTTCATCAGATCTGGGCCAATTGTGGAGGCATTTGTTCCGTTGGTTTATCAACAGCGCTTTATTTTCTCGAGGTTTCCTAATTTGGGCATGCCTTTTGTATTTAGTCCTCTCCTGTTGCTTCTTTCTTGGGACATAGAAATTGACAGAAGAGAGTGAGCACACAGAGGCACTTGGTATAGCCGTATACTATTGCTTTTGCGTGCTCACTTCTCTTTCTGTCAGCTTCCAGTGCCGGAAATTTGTTTCATCGCTACCTGGCTCTGCTTTGTTCCCATTTCCAAACCTCACCATTCTTATCCCTCCCACTCTCTCGGTGTGCAACGGAGCTGGAATACCGCTGAAGAAGTTTATAGCATCCAGTATCTGACAGTGAAAGGCATTATCTTCGGTGTTTATTTGCCTTTCCACCTTTTTCTCCCGGAACTGTTGGATTTTATTCTGTTTTTCTCGGGTGGATTCTACTATTATTATTCAATATTTAATAGCAGCAATAGTAATTTATTATTATATATTATCGGTGGAAACCTGAAAGCGTGACTTTTGATGGTTGCCGCAGTAGCTACCCTAAGTACTGTGCAGGTTAAGCGGCAAAGATACTAGCATGGGACCATTCACGTTACACAGTATGGTCCTCACTCTTCACAAATTTTCTTCGCATTTCTTTCGTTCCTCCCTCTATATAATCATCATCCTGATTTCATTCCTTTCCGTATAATTCCTGCGCCTGCGGATGTGTTCACTCGTCTAGATTCCGACTCCTTGAGGACTTTTATTTAGAATGGACTCTTTCAATGTTAGTCAGTAACCCTTATCATTAGACTGTAGATTCCTTTTGCTCGGATTGCAAATTCATGAAAGTCGTCTGTGACTGCGCTAGTATGAGTTGAGTTTTATTTTTCCGCCTCCCTAATAGTGTGCAATTGCCGTCACTTGGAACTGGTTTTCCAAAATATAGAACGTAATATTTCAGAGATTTACTAGAAAACCACATCAGTTTTTCCTTATGATGCGAGATCTAATCTGTAAATAAATAGTCGGAAAATTGACTGGATCTGGCATGTTCATGAACTGATGATACCGAGCCTCCCTCCCCTTTTTTTTTTCCTGATTTATAAATGCAGATAAACGTAGAATGGATCGTTCTCGGAAGACATTTTGCGTGCTTTCATACGCCCTGAAAGCTTGTGGTTTGATTAAGGACTGTCGGTAACTTAACATGAATTTTTTTCTGTTTACGTTATAACAGTTCTTTGTATTCCCCTTCTCATCTCTAGTCATTGGAACATAGAATTTAATGGTCAAATATACTCCTTCTAAGGACAATTATCACTATGGCATTTCCTCTTTTCTAACAATTACAATTGCTCTTGATTTTTCAGTTCCTTTTGCAAAATAATGTTTGATTTTAAATTTTCAGGATGCGATGGAATTGACACGTTTATATGGATCATGCATCAACGTGTCATTGATAGGTTACCAATCTGTAACTTGTGTTTTTTTTTTTAACCCCCTTTTCAGTTTCTCTCTCGTTCCAAAGCCCGGGGTGCCTACTCTTGTTAACTTAAATGGCAATCTGGAGTTCCTCTGGCTTATGCACTGGTTCGGATGATTGATGCCTTAAAATATCAACAATTTCCCTATCTCTCACCGGTACTTAGTTTGCTTTTGGGTTTTGGCAATACCTTTCCTACAAATTTCAACATTCACAAAGGATTATTTAATAATTTAATATAAATTTCTTTCCCCGTGATTATATGTTGACTGAATTTTGGATGCTCGTTTTCTGTTGTCAAAGCACCTTTAGAATATAATGAGATGGAGATGCATATATGCTGCACGCTCTAATTTTTAATGTGATTAATGTGGTTTCTGGTTTGTATAGGTTAGCCCCGTTGTAGTTTTTTTTAATATTTATTTATGATGACATTTTGCACTCATTTTTTTTTCTCAATAATAATAATAATCTGCATTAACTAATTACGCATATAGTTTATTCTATCTTATTTATAACTACAGTACATGCTTGCAAAGATAATTCTTTTTGTCTAAAAGGAATCTGAGAACTTTGCCTTCAAACCATCAAAACAGTCATTTTCACAAACTTGTCATTTGATAGCTTTTTTTTTTCTTGGTCGGAGAAAGTTTTGAGTTGGGTCCCGGGAATTTATTAGGGCTGGAACATGTCTCATAACTCAAGAACTTTTATGAGCAAATTGTCTACCAAAATAATATCCTCACATCAATTGCAAAATTTGATCCCACAATCTTATTGATTATATCAGCTAGATCAATCTATATTGGTTTATTTGATAGTGTTATTATACTTACACGCACCCTTGTAGAATAAAGATCTCCAGATTTCCAAGCCAATAATTGTGATTGTAGCAGAGTGATTTAGGACCCTACCTTAGGGTTGTGCAAAAATCCAATTATTATGTCCAACCCGAACACGTTTGATTTAGCAAAAGAAAAATTAATTCAAAAGACTAAAGAGATAAAAAAAGACTAGATTAATTTTTTAGGTTGGACCAGACAAGAGACCAAGTTCTTAGACTACTTGGTCTAATCTGGTCCAATAAAATTATTTTAATATAATTTTAATTATTTTTAATATATTTGAATAGTTTAAAATTTGAAAGCAACATTTCTTTTTATATAATCTTAATTTAGTTTGTTGCTAAATTGTTGTTATAATGTATATTAGACATGTTTTCAAAGTTTGTAGAATGTTGTTCTTGCTATTGTTGAAATTTGAATTTGAATCATTTGGATTGTAGTTGAAATATTTGTTTTGTTGTTGTTGTTGTATATTGTTATTGATTTTTTATTATTATTATGAGTAATTTTGTTATTTTAATTGAATTTATTAAGATGACATGAATTGTTACCTCTTATATAGAAAAAAAGGAAGGAAAAAAAGTTAAGGGAGTATTGAACTAACAGGACAAACTTCCTTGTCTCGTTAATTTTTAAATTACAATTGGACCAAATCAAACTCCATATTGTCTAATTTAAAGTCTAGTCTTGTCTCATCTTTTATGTAGCCCTACCCCACCCATTATTCTTTAACGGAAAAGGCTATGCTTCATGACAAGTTTCGCAAGTGCCTTGTGTACAGGTATATGCTTCTTTTAAATAATCTATAGATATCCTGTGAAGTCTAATAGAGAGATTCTACACACTTTTAATTTGGATTAAGAATAATAACTTTCAAGTCGTGTAAATCTTCATATAATTCATATCACGTTATTTTACGAAGGTCATCTAGTGTTGTTTCCATGACGTTGACAATTATCAGTTTCTTGCATGCTTGTTTACGGTGAGTGGATAAATACTATTTTGCGGTTATCAATTGTATTTAGTCATCATTATAGGTAGTTGTGAATTCGGATCTATTATCGTTTTCCTCTCTTATCAATTTATCATCAACGAATTTCTTTTTATGTAAGCAATTATGTCATAGATCATAGACTATATTTCACATGGGAGTAGGGTTCACGGTTTATTCAACCCGTTGACATTGATTCATTTCGTTTTAAATTACCTTACAAGTCTGTGAAGTTTTGTTTGTGGGATATATCTTTTTGATGTGATATAATACTATACAAGTCAGTGCTCTTGATTATAGCTCCCCTCGAAACAACACACACACGCACAGGCACACACTTAATCTCTGAAGTTTTTCATATTTTAGCGTGGATGAAGTTTATGTAAACATACCGTACCATAGGTAATTGTGTGGATTAGATATGGATAAGGTGGCCAGTTAATTATCAGCGTATTTTTATGAAAATCTATTTCACTATTCCATGTTGTTTGAATCCTCTTTTCTCTCAGTGATGATTTTACTTCCGATTTCTTAGATGCTTGCTCTAATTAGTTGCAATGTTTTACACTTGCATAAATTGAAGCAAGATTAGATGGAGCTGGCCTGGCTTCTATTAAACCCCACATGGAATATACACCCTGCATATTTTTAAATTCAAAACACACACACACAGCTCTTTTCGAGACATGGTGATTTCTCTTTCATTACCATGAAGACTTAACTTGTGTTTCCGAGGTCAAATGCTGATGCCAACAAATAAAACAAAAGTTAAAAAAAAAAATGGTGCTGGTTAAATACTAGCTCTATGTATATTTCTCTTTCTATCCTGGCAACGATGCCTTTCCTATTATTTGAAAGAATGGGTAATTTTTGTCTTGGATTGCGTGTTTCATTTTTCGAAATGTCAATTGGTTTTTAATTATAATATTTTCTGGTCTTTAAAATTGCTGCACCAATGAAAATTGCAGATTTTTTTTTTACATTTTAGTACAGCTTTAATTCTAATTTAGTCATTATAAATGCTTTCTTAACATTATCTTATCCTTCATTCATTGCTATATTTGTTTGTCATGTTTTGCCTACATAAATTACCATAAAACTAAAAGAAATGCTTGCACAGTACACTTTCGTAGTTAATACATTGACGAAGTCAGTGCAGACAGATAAGAAACTAATGTCGATAATTCTAAAGTTCTATACCTTGAATTCTACAATCCAATTTCCCAACCCTAACTTCATGGACAGAGCTGTAAGTGTATTTATTGAGTCAATTAACAGTACAGGCAAGTAGAAATAGTCAAATTCAACAATCGGCATGTTTATAATAACTTCTCTACGGAAGTAGAATATAAGAACAAGATTGAAAACATTCAAATTATTACGATGTGCCGTAGCATTATAACTGAAGCATGTATGTTAACTATGTCTTGCTTCATATTTTGGTTTCTTAATTCCAATCTTCAATTCAGCAAAGAATATGTAAGTTACTCACAAGATTTATCCGGCTAGCAATAGGATGGATCTATATGCATGCCTTGCGATGCTTCAATGGTGATACTGTAAATGGTTATAACTGATAACAACGCTGAGCATTTACATCCCCTATTTGGACGAGTTATAGGAACCCTGTCACGTTCCTTTGTGTTTGTGTGCTAGATTTTAACTTTCCAGCCCTAATAAAGTTGGAGAATTGACGCAGTAATTGGAAACAGTAGTTACACATGTAGACGATGTTATTATCAAGTTATCACCATCATTAACCGCAGCTTTAATGTCACTTTTTTATTTCACAAATAATTCTCTGCATCATTATCACCTTTCTTATCACTGTCACTAGTTGGAAATAAACTTGTCTATTATTCAGTCACTAATTGTTTTCCTTTCTTTCTTTTACCATATGATTGCAGAGAACTGAAGAGGTGACGGCCGGTGCATACCACTGCATAATATCTGGATAATTGGAATGGAATTTGGAAAATGAAGAGAAGACAGATAGAAATAAAGGATCGATAACCTTGCTTGCAAGTTCGTGGTAACATTACACCTAGGTATGGGGAAAGAAAGAAAGATTATATTCCCTTGCATATAGTGTTCTTAGTGATTAATCCTTTCCTTGGGGTATGCATTTTACCCGTTTTTTGGAACTAATTTGAAGGAACTACTGTCTTTAATTTTGTCTGTGAAAGACAACATATTTTGGTGAATATAATGAGCGTTCGAGTGCGCACAAATGTTGATGGTTCAATAGCGTTGATATTATATGTCAGTAGTTGCTGATTTATATCCAAAGAGTTGGGTCCGTTAATGGAACAGAAGCTTCTGTTATTGTTATAGCGATGAAAGGCAACAATATTTTGATGTAGGGCCATCACGACGGAAGAATTTAGTCATGCCATTTCCGGGAGCAAAATGGTATTCTCTCACAAGTGGTGTGGGCCTTTTGCGGTGCGGACTGCAATTGCAATTGCCCAAAGATTTAACAATAGGCCTTTGTTGATGTACGTGTCCAACTTAAGAAAACGCAGATTGGCAAAGGTTTGTGATGATTTGATTATATTGACTAGAATGATTGTTTTTTATTGACACAGGCATAGAGTCGTAATGGATAAAAATAATGCAAAAGAGAGTCTGGTTCGGGTTTGCACCCACGAAGTTGATGATGTGGGAAGTTGTTTGACGGAGTATGAGGAGAGTTTCAGTCAGCACACCTGGACCGAGGAGTTGGTACCATGTTCGTTAAATTTGGTTGGTATTTATCCATACAGTTAATTTGTGAACGATGAACGGCTATGTCTAATCATAAGCCAAGTTCGAGTTCTTAGAACGCGTCTCTCGAGAGCACACTTGGCGTTTAATTAATAAGGAGGTCCGGGAGTGATCCAAGGAAGGGGTCTCAGTCCCTTCATGTACGCTGAGATTTAGAATGGGGAAACCGAAAATTGTGCCAATCCCAAAACTTGGTTTGTGTATAGTTGTTTTATTATTATTATTAATTTCTCCTATGAGCTAGTTAAACTAGAGGTGCCTGTTATCATCATTTGTAAGTTATCACTGACTCGAATAACGAATTGAACACTCTGGTACGAGAAGTGTTCGCGCCCGCGCCTTTTAGCAAGTTAGACCCAATCGAAGGTGATGAATGATTTCAAGATGCTGTCGTTCGGAACTGAACTAATCAGGTTGGAGATCTGTGGCTGCCCCCCTTCACAAGTACTTCTTAATTAGAAGGCTCGAATAATTGATCTTGCAAAGGTCTTTCTTTACTTCTTAAGCTACTGTAATGGGTTACTGGTTGGTCCTTGTTATACAAATTGCAGAACAGTTTCTAGGGTTGCTCTTACACTGTGCTTCTGACGACACACAGTTGTTGAATGTTGACAAGCCCCTTCAGATAAAGGGCATGCCTCTTGTGGGATAATTACATTTTCCAGGCTATAATCAATATTTCAAGGATTAATACTGTATAACAGGATATTTTAAGTGGATTCCAGAGAAGCACTCTTTTTCAAGTTATTGGATAGAGGGAGATCGAAGAGGTAGCAAACATGAAACGAAGACAAAGTGGCTGGTGCATCGCGGATCAATTGTACCGCCGATAGTCCCTACCTAAGCTGGTATTAGAAAATAATTAGAGAAAGAAAAAATTAAAACCTATATTAAATAAATCATCAGAGTTTTATTTTGTGAGAATGACAATAAAGTGTCAAAACAGAAAGTTCACAACAATTAAGCTAAGTCTTAACGAGTCTTTTTTTAAAAAAATAAGTTGCAAGTATTAATTCAAATAATTATAAATAAGAATCTCAATTGTAAATTGTGGGTTGTATTTAAAATTTAAATGTTTTATATTGAATTAATATTTACAATTAATTTTTGAAAAAAAAAATTGAAGTCAACCACCATAAATGTATTGATTTGGAATTTCAAGTGTTATTCTTCTTTTTATTTTGCCCCTACATAGAATTGCAAATAAGCGTCGGGTTTAAATAATTAAGCTTAGAGACTCTATTTAAATAAAAGTTCAAACTTTAAAAATTATATTTTTTAAATAATCAGGTTTGGGAGCCTGATCTTAATCGGGCTTTGGCAACCTTTCAAGTCTTGTTCTATTATTATTAATTTTTTTAAAAAAATTGTGGAACGCTACATTTAAAGAAGGGATCCTATTGAACTCTAGACTCACTTGACTTTCTGAACATTGAAGAACTCAAATTAAGCGATCGCCTTTTGCTTTTCTTTGCTCATCTCGCCCTCAACCAATCAACCAGTCAACCTCACACAAAATTGTGGAATGCTACATTTGAAGAAGGGATTTTATTGAACTCTAGGCTCACTTAACTTTCTAAACATTGAAGAACTCAAATTAAGTGATCGCCTTTTGCTTTTTCTTGCTCGTCTCGCCCTCATGCCCTCAACCAGTCAACCTCACACCTCTTATTCCTTATCTCTACCTCACGTCTTATGGTCTACACATGAGGATCTAATACATATATTTAATTGATAATGACATAATTTAATTAATATTTATTATGGGTGATGAAGGAGAAGTTGTGGAGATAATTGTCATTGAACCTTCACCTCCATCTTTAACAAATAAATTTATATCTAAGTGATCTAATATTCTATTTTTAAATGATGAGAAGAAGGATTTAGATTTACATTGATGAAGATTTTAATCTTTATTTTAAATTTATACTTTTAAATCTTTATTAAATTTTATGTGAAACTTTAATTTATTTTATATTAGATTTTAAAATATTCTATTTAAATTAAAATATTAATATTTTTTTTTTTGGAAAAAGGGCTTACAGGCTGGCTTTGAACCCTTTGAATGAGGGTTAAACTTTAGAATTAAGTTAAATTTTAGGTAACCAGACTTCAGAGCCTGAGCCCTTAAAAGATAGGTCTGCCCAAATTTTCATATCTACTACACTGCCTTATCTCTATCTAACGATTGGCTGGAAGGATATTTTTTACCACAAATTTACTAGTAGCCTCTTTTGTGGCACTTCATGCATGGATCATTTATAGAATGCTTTTATGAGTGATTTTTGTTTTTTTTTTAAGATTAAATGAGAATACCCCAAAAAAAGAAATCACATTGTATGAGATAAATAACTGATACTTTTTTTCAATTTAAATAATTCAATGTTCGTTAATCTACTAAATTTGACGAAGACGTTATTGATTTTTAAAATCCAACAAACGTGAGTTTCTTGGATTTTATTACTTATTTATACATATATTCTCGGATAGAAATGGCGACTTGATTTTGAAGAAGTTGAAAGTGGAACTCGCTTTTTATGTAAGCAAGACCATCGTGAGAAGTCAAGATGATGTTGTAATGCAAATAAAGTGAGTCTACAAGTCGCAATGTTATTTTTCAGAATACAAAGGCAAGCATGAGCTTGAATAAAGAAAACTAGAAAATAATCCTCGTCACCAAACCAAACAAAATTAAGACCTAGCTGGAGATTTATCCCTGATGAATTTATCCAAGCAACCAGGGGGGAACTGTGGGAATTAACACGAACCCATTGTGAATATCATGACCCGTTCTTGCCAAGAAATCATCACCAGTAAGTTGAGCTTCCCAATCCACATAGAGTATGTTCGCAAGGGATGATCAACCAGGCAATCCCTGTTTGGCAGATTCAGCGCCTCCAGTGAGTCCGAGTAAACCAGGACCTTGGTATTACTGGATTCTTCAGGCAAAACTGCAAAACTGTAACCAAATAATGAGCCTATGAGCATCTCGCGATTAATTTCACTGTGTAACCCGAAAATCCAGATTGTCAGAAGAATATCCTCTTGTTCTGGGCTTGTTGCGTGAAGCGACGTTGAAATAAAACCTGTAACCTCTTGACCTGGGCCAAGGCCCGCCAAAAGAAAACCTGAGACAAGCCTATCCTGTTGGACCGAAGCCTAAAATGAACAGATGAGACTTTTCATTGTTGCTGGCCCAGTATAGAGGACTAGTTTCTTTGTTTACATGGAGCTGTTGAAGAGTGAGAACGGCAGGAATTACGGCCCAAGTATCTTGGTTGGTAACTTGGTGGGTCTATGGTATTGATGACAGCTGTCTTTCTTCTCCCTCCCATCCAAACTCAGAACAACCTTCAGGGACTTGGGCCAACCAAAATATAATTTAATTAATTCAAACATGAAGAAAGGATCCTTTAACTTCTTTGTTTAAATAATACTACAAACATACATTAAACAAGGGATGATCCCCCGTCATTCTTCAACTCTTGTCATGGGAGAACTCTAACTTCTAATCTTATGAAAAAAAACATTCTTGTGTTAGTAATTTTATCTTTAAACAAGTGATTCTCGTTACATTTTTTGTTTATCATATTAATGGCCTCAACACAATTAGAAACAATCGTGGCATTCCTGTAACAATGGCTCTAACACAAATTAAGCCCTTGCTGAAGGAACAACTAAGAGTTCGCAAATAAAGACCTTTTTCCACCTTCCATTTTCATTCAAAGTTATGCCACCACAACTAGAATTACCATTTGTGCTGACAGTACCGTCCACTTATAACGTAACATACTCCTCTTTCCCAAGCACTCTCTCCTTACTAATATCATGCACAGAACAAAATAGAAGCATTCCTAATTAAATTAGAATCAATAGTAATACAGAAACAAAAAACAAAGAAAGAAAGAACATCAAGGTCGTGCTTGTGGGCATCCTCATAAAAAAAGTTTCCTACACCTAGCAACTTAAATATCCCAACAAAATATTCCAAGGTAGTTTACTAATTAAATCTTTACCAATATCATGTAGCAAAATTCCATTTTACCTAACCAACACCATGGAAGTTGATAAAAGTGTTCCAGTGTTCACTCGCAACAATTGCCTTCCATCATTCAACCATGTTAGGGCAGCCCTTTATCTAGTATATGTCATCTTCAATCGTGTTACAATTGAATAGACAATAATTTTCCACTCCTAGTTCCCTTCTTCTGCGCAGCGCTCTAATATGTGCTCTTCCGTGCAAAAATAACCACACCAAAGATTTGATTTTCTTTGCAATGGGCCAGCATTAAAAGATCTTTCATATACTATCAACATTCCTTCGAGTACTTATAGTTGAAAAATTATAAGTAGATTTCGCAATAAAAGAACTAGTAATAGAAAGTTTTCAAAAGTGCTTGTCCTCTCCTCTCTCCTTACACGACGGGTGAGCATTGGTCAATTGAGTAACTGTGTGTATATGGAATCACTATCCCATTTTGACCACCCTCCACTTTGGCTAACATAATCAGCAATTGTCTCACATCCACCAATCAAACACTCCATGTCAGGTATAAGTTTAACAAACTATGCATTCATTTCCTACCAATTCTCTTGTCTCGTCAATAAAAACAATGAATAACTAAGCTCTCTCATGTCCTCAATTTATTTCAAGGTTTTTATTTGGCCCCAAATTGATACTATCTCTATTAAAAAATATAAGGCATTTTTAACCGAATCTCACCCTCAATAAATAGTTAACTACTTTTTAACTAACCATATTTTTTTATATTTATTCCCTATTAAACATCCTACAATAAATATAAAGTTACTATCAATAGGGGCACTTTTAAAAAAAAAAGCAATTATTGCACCTCAAAAGACTAAAAATGTCTTACATTTTTAATCATCACATTCTTTAAAAAAATATCTTATATTTTTTAATGGAGAGAGTATAACATATTTTTTCTCATCTCTTGTATTAGACACCTAAATATCATTATTTATTAAGATATTATTATCTTCGTACATTAAATTTTAACCATTAAATGGCAGACATAATAGTATTTTTGAAAAAGAATTACAATTTTTCTATGTCTTAATTACAAATAAATGAACTCAATCTATCCATTTTTTTAGACTTCTACGAATTATTTGAGAATATCTCATATTTAGGATGGAAAGAAGCATGTGATTTGTACTCTCTTCTGATCATAGTATAAGTTATTTTTTAAAAATTTTGCTTAATCCAAAATACAGGCATTATATATGTATTTTATATATATATATATATATATTTTAATTACATCATTATTTTACTGAGTAACTAATGGGAATGTTTTAAATAAGTTATATGTTATATTTATTACATTTAAGGGAATGATTTGATAGAAGTAAATTTTTTCAGAAAATGAGATTTTTTTTTTTGCCAGAGAGAAAATGGTGAATAATGGTGAATAAGATATAAAAAAGAATAAGATTTTTTTACATTTCCAAAGAACACATGAGATTCATAGTAAAAATTAATAGTGAATAATAAAAATAATAGGTATTAGATATATAATGAAAATGCAAATTTTATTTAGGCAGAGTATAAAAAGTAAGTAGGTAGTCAGATGAGTTACTTCAAAATTTAATTTACTTAAAAAAATTCAAAATTAAATTAAATTACTCAAAATAACATATTCCAAATAAAATAATTTGTTACATTTA